GCCCGCGCCTGGACGCACACGCTGCCTTCTTTATTTCCGCCTGCGCACCCGCGCTTTCACGCCAAAAGGCCTCTACGTTTGGAGAAATAGCGCATGGCCTTATTGCAAAATCTATCATTAAGGGAAACATATCTTTCATTAATATCCTAGTTGCAGGAAGACGCCGTAAACTTCTGCAATTTTCGAAAAAAATCAGAGTTTTCAACGAAGATTAGACCTGTACCATTCTCTTAAATGTTCTTCAAAATATCCAACAACAACATTTAATCAAAAACAATGGAGCCATTTCTTTGAAAATTTGAAAAATGTTCCAAGGGTAAAGTCCCTCCTAAAATTAAAATATCGATTTCAAATTTAAGAGGCGGCGACATCAGCGAAATTTATAACCGATTATCGATTTTGCACGAAATCGGCTGCACGGTTTAGAACCTAGCGTTGTTCACAGACAGACGGACGGATGGCCAGGCTTTGCTGTAATTCGACTTTCTGTATCAGGGACCCACAAAACATGAATTGTGGCTACATCACGTGTTAGGTTTTTTTTTATAAATTTACCAACTAGATTTTATCTACTTATTCGTTACCAGGGCTTTGTAATAAGAGGTTTACAGCAGAAAATTCGTCGGTTTTTTTGCGACTCATTACATAACTTTTTCGCTACTGCGAACGCGCAAGAGAGAAAGTAAAAAACTAAACTAAAGTCGGTTTTTTTCTTTCATGGGTCAGCTTCAAGCGGTATCCCTCGCCCTGGCATTGCATCCTCTCTCTTATCCTCCGTATCTATGGTCTTGGTCCCCCACTCCCCCCCCCCGCTTCCACTCTCTCTAGTTCCCCAGGCCGGGACCCCAACTATCAAAGACCCGCTGAAGTAGTCAACGCCCTTCTCAAATAGTCCCTCCGTTACAGCCTAGACGTCTCTGTGATCCTTAGTGGAATGATGGTTAATGGCAGGATAGGGTAGGGAACGAAGAAAAAAGCATAATAGCAAGGGAAACGAGAGTGTCCCGAAAAAATCTGCCGTGAACTTGATAATTTCAGAATACATGATTTGGTAAAGTCAACCGTATGATGATGCATTCTACCAGAAATATTGAATCATGCACCCAGATATTTAAAACTGAAGTATATTGATATCTATAGATGGTATTTTTGTAGTTTCACATTTACTTTTCTAAAACCCGTATTTTCATAATCACACGACCAATCGTCTTCAAATTTGCAGAGATAAAGGAAGGCACAAACTACAGTACTATGGAGAAATTGGCTAAAAGTTTTAGTTCTAGAATCACTAATTTTGACTACGGCCATCAACTTTTCTCAACTATACAACTTTTTTATTATAAAATCTTTACGTACTTTTGAATGTACTGTTGAGAGTCGTTTTTCTTTGAAACGTTTGTGTAGAGGACTAATGCCAGAATACGCAATTACAGCAGGTCATTTTATTTATTCTTTGATATGGAACTTTCCTATTTATGTTACTCAAGCATTTTTTGAATGTCATAACTTACTAACGATTACAATGAAGATATCTATATCGACAATGGCGTGTATAGCATAATGATCTCTGAATCATCTACTGAGCTTTTCCTCAATTTTGTACATAAGCGATATATTCAGTGGCACATTTAGAGATACGTAATGACCCCACATTCGTTGGAACTTCTAACCAGAAACACATTTCCAAGTGTTCGTGCAACATGATTGGAGATTCGGAATCCCGCAGCAAGGAATGTTCTTGAATAGGAATGAAAATTGGTAACGATGGGAAACATAGATCGAATTATTAATGTCAATATTATCTGACGATTCTTCCAATAGCGATTGGAATTGACACAAAATTTCAAATAAGAAAAGAATATGCATTTTATTCCAATACTGTCTCCAGACATTTCAATAAATATTACAATTCATATTTACTTGCCATAAACGACTTAATTTTACTAATAGAAGGAGATGTAATTTCTCCCCTCTATAAAAATTCAACAAAATAGCTTTATGAAGTGTCAGAACGCGATTTAAATATTTGTACAATTAATTTACTACAAGACAGTCAACAGATTTTTGATAAAGGTACTGCAATATTGATATCGACATCACTTATCGCTTCAGCAATCGATATCAGTATTAAGAATAGGTAAATAGCCGACCATGGAGAGAGAGAGAAAAGCAGACAATGCTGTACCGATCATCCTTTATATTTTTTTTATTTTTATTCTTTATAGTGGATTTGTTTGGTTTTTACTTTCCCCTCTGCCTTTTCGATGCGAGTGACGTCTCGCCGAGCCGTCCGCGACGATGCATCTTGTTGGCGCTCGCAAATGGAAGTGAACGAGGCCGAGAGGCGGCTGTGAAAGTGCGACGCGTTCTAATTTTAATCCCGGCGCCGGCGCGGGGGCGGCGCGCGGTTTCATAAGTCGCGCTGAACTTTGCGTTCGACGCAAAAAGCGACGCCGGCGGTCAAACCGGTTGCGGGGCCCTCTGCTCACTGCTCACCGCGGGCGAGCTCGGCTGCCCAGCCCCCCTCCCCTCTCCACCCCACAGCAGCGGCTGCCAATGGGCGATTCGCGAAAATATTGTAATAAAGCACTTTTAAATTCCTAACACTTACCCTACACGTACGGGAGAGGTAAGTACACGACAAATACAGCATTTAAAACAAACTTTGATATCAAACCAACCTTAGCTTTCTTCTTTAACCAAACTGGTGTACATTCTATTGAGAGATTTTCAAAAACTATTCTAAGCTAATCAAAGTACTATTGCGTATTAATCACGTACAGATTTTGTTAGTTTACTAGAATTTATGGGTTATTAATTTTTTGCACACTAAAATGTCAGTAAGGCAATGTTAATACTTGAAAATGATATACGATTATGTTTAATATGAAACTTTTGTCGAAGAGCCGCATCAAAATTCATAGTACAACACCACTGAAAGTTGGCATTAATTTTTATTAGTCGTCAGTTTTGTTAAGTCTTTCAGGCCAATCAGGGAAGAAGTATGCACGAGGCAGTGATTCGGATATTAATGCGATATAAATGACTGGATGGATATGATGGAGTATCGGTGGAATAAATGGCAAGGCAATCGGCAGAGCTGGGAGAAACTCGGCCACACGCTCCCCAAGAATCGAGCGGTATTTGCATCCCAGATAGGGAAGACGTATGATCTGACCTCTACAGCCAACATTCAAAGGCGGTGGTAAACTAGCGACGAGACGATGTAAGAGTGACATTGCTCAACCGTCCTACAGCAGCTCGTGTAAAACAAATTATTACAACTGTCTCTAAGATTCATCCTCTTGCACGTTTTATATTTCAGTTAAACAACAGCCGTTACTTAATTTTCATAAATAATTACGCTCTGAATTAGCTTAACTGTAATTTAGAGAACAATTTTTAAATTCAGATGGTGCCGTTCAAATTAAAAGAGCATAGAAATCACACACGTTCCATTAATGAAGAGACAATTCACTGTAATTGATATAAAAATGTCTTTATAATTGTCATAAATGCAAATAGTTACCTCAAAATATGAAAACAATAAAAAAACAAACAAAAAATAATTGGCTCGAGAGTAATTAAGCGTGGCCGAGAGCGCGTCAGGAGCCCCGACTGCCTCCGGAGCGAAGGTGTGTCCCGTTCTGCGTGGATCGATCTGGCGACATCTTCAAGCGCACGGCCCGAGTTGAGGACACGAGAGATTGATATTTAGAAGAAAGGTATTACTTATGTTTCTTATGAAGATACTTTGCATACATTTTTAGTACAATCTGGAACGGACAAATGATAGGACAAACACACTTATGGCAATATTCTTCTGCAAAAACTTGCAGGTTGAGAGGAATACATTTTCGAATACATCTGGTGTTACTACAAACTATTGGGTATCTTTCTATCAGCTTGCGTTGTCTCAAAGTACATACGAGTACATTTATCTACGGTTCCGTATGAAATGTGTGTGTGTGCTAATAAGCATTGAGGCCAGTTAATGTACAATGTACAATTGTAATAGGGTTTACTTATTTTACATTAAAAAGCAAAAATGAAATGAGAGACTGGGAATATCCTAACAATTACGCTGAAAAACAATTCGTTGAACAAAATACTTTCAGTGGTAATTGGCATCAAGAAACGTAACCTTCCCTATACTCCGTACGTAGTATGCGAGAAAATGAAAGTATCTGTTCCGCGCCGCAGACGAAGCGCAGGGAAAGCCTGATTCCCTGCGCCCAATTGGTTATTTGCCAGGCTCGCCTCCTTCGAGTCTCACCCCCCCTCCGTTCAGCACGCCACCATTTCTATAACCATTCTAATTATCTATTTTGTTTTTTCTGTACAGGTTCACTTTCACATTAGTCGAATACTAAGCTCTGCAATTCACGATTTCATGTTGACAACAATCCTTCCTCTTCTACGTCCTTCTCAAAGCTATTTCGTAGTTTTAAATTACCTTATGATCCAAATTTGGAGCAAGAGTAATAGTACATTTATAACAATACGTAGTACTTTGAGTATACTTTTGAATTCCAATCAATAAAATGAACGTCCTTGTAAAAGTGATAGGCTTTAAGTAGGCAATATTGCACTCTAATCTGTTATGGACCAATGGTTTCAACGGATTGTGGACGAGTCGTAAAGAAAGTCATGACTGAAGCAACGATAACGAGTTCCAGAACAAAAGCCTTCAAGGAAAATGGTGGAACTAAATTGAAAAACATAGCAGCACTTCCTAATAAACTGCACTTAAGGAAGCAATTTAAATTAGTTTCGTAAGTCTCTTGGAATCATAAAACTTGTCCAGTCTAATTCAGCAACCAGAGGAATGAAGTGAAGTTTTTATAAAACAAAACTATCAAATCATAGGAATAAAAGTTAAGAAGAAACTTTATTCTAAGTCTCTCTGCTGTAAAATTTAAGAGGAGAAAATAATTTATGTTGATATAAGATGAATCATTGCATTCGCTGGGGTGGAGGGGACGGGCGCCCCAACTGACCTGAGCTCGGCGGAGGACTCGACGAGCAGCTTGACGCAGTCGAGGCAGCCGCGCGCCGCCGCGTAGTGCAGCGCCAGCGCGCCGTTGGCGCTCCGCTCCAGCGCCGGCATCTCGGCCTCCCACAGCAGCCAGCGCAGCACGTGCAGCCGCCCGTACCTGCGCACGCCACGCCCACCATTACTCCACAGCACACTCCTCACGCGCACGCGCACGCAATGCACCTCCGCACTGCACCGAAACTGCAAGCCGACGTGCAGATGGGCGTCGGATAGCGCGCTCAAGGCGGGAACGGACAAATATGCGCCAGGAAACACGAAACGACCAACAACGCACCACGTAATGTCGCTTTACGGGCCGTCTCCCGACACATCGATGGTGCACAAGTTAAATATATATTATGCATATTCTTCTTCTCACACACAATCTATCTTAAGACATAAAGGAATCTAAATTTACGGAGAGATGACCATTCCCACTTTCAATGCGCAAGTGCTAAGGCATTGTGAAAAAATGCGCGTCTAAATCAGGCAGTCGCAAATATAATCCATAACAGACAGAGAAACTCTCCTCGTGGACACATTGACGTGTATAATTCGATAACAGAACATGACAGCGAATAAGGACTTGATTTAAATGACTGTTTTTAAGCCAACATCTACAAACTTTCCCATCTATTACATTGAGGTTCAGCTCTTCTAGAATCAGTAATGATGGTAAGAAACTATTAGAAGACCTGTGAAAGCCTGAATTCAAAGCAAGATGTCTCCATAACCTCTTTTTCTCTTAGCTGAATGACAATGGAAAGAGGCTCGAGCTGCCATATCCGATTGGAACCACATCGGTGCGCTGATGAGAAACTTCCACTGACATACAATATCGAGCATGTATCGGGTAACTTCACTTCATCTCGTCTCTAACGTTTTCTGCCATTCTTCAATTCTCTCTGCGAAATCAAATATTTTTCACACCGCTTTTCGAATGTTGGACCAAAAATAAATCATTCGGCCTAATTCTAGCCGGGGCATTTTATTAGCGTCTTCATGAATTTGCGACGGAAAGAAAACGCTGCACGTATATTTTTTGTTTTATTTTTATTTTAAGAATGATATTTTGCTTCTGTTAATGGTTTTAATTAATCTTCTGAGATTACGAATTAAAAATAGTAAATTTCCATGAAGGAACATTTTCATTCAGAAATAAAAGAACATTCTAAAATCATTAAAAAAGTGAGGGAAATATATCTTTGAATGTTTTCCTGCATATTTCATTCCCTAGATTTATTACTTTATACGTTTCGAAATTGCTTTTATCTGGTGAAATCACAGATGGTTGGAGGCTGCGTTGCGAAGAGGGGCAGTTGCGGGGGTGGATAGCGGGGGCGGGGTTCGAGACGTTGCTCCGTGGACTTGCGCGGGGGAGGTGGGCAGGCGCGTCTCAATTGGGCGCCTGGAAATTAGAAGCGCGAAGGTCTGTATTTAGTAAATTGCGCCTTAGTGCGTTAACGCTTCATTGTGCGCCAGATGGCCCGCCGGAACGAGGTCTTACCTCGCCTTTCCGCCGCGGCCCTCTACGGCGCCTCGTCCACGGAGGTATTTCTTTGTTTTGTCTTCTCTGTTGTCTTCGGTCCTTCGTTTCCTGCATTTCTCGTGCTGGGCGGACCCTACGCCTTCGTCGCACAGAGAAGCACGACGCACGACAGTGAGATGCTGTCCTCTTTATACCTTATCCTCTGTATACAAAAGATACTCGCTAAGCCCAAAAGATCGTGTTTCCAAGTAAATAAAGTTGAAGCTGTAGATGAATGAAAAAACAGACCAACTTCGTCAACCCGACTTAGACGCCTTTGACGTCATCTACACTCACGGAGGGATACTTAAGAAAAACTATCCTTATCCAATTACATACAGTTAGAAAAGGCTGATTACGTAAATGTATCGTAATAAAGTTTGATCAGTTCGTGGTAGTTTGATAAGTGGAATTTCTAACCACAATTTACACACTACTAAAAACTATTCACGTACGGCATTTTATTCCAATTCAATGCGCTATCGAAATACGAGTGATAGCTTTTTATTCGAATTCAGTTATTTGCGGTATCGAAATGCGAGGAATAACGTTGCCCCTGACTGCCATCTGCAAGAACCCGCAATACACGAGCGTTAAACGGGTTGCCTACTCCCAGGTGCCGTGTTTTCCCAGCCGCGCTCTTAGTGCATTTCACTGCTTACAGAGTGCGCTCGTAGCCGCAGACAGAGTTGATTTTATACTCCATTTTCTTCTCTCGCAAGGCGTGTGAAGAGCAAAAGCGTTGGCGCAAGGAGGGGGGGGGGGTCCAAGCGAATTTAGCTGCCCACCCAGAATTCGATGATAGATTCACAAGTGTGTCTTGTTAATTTTTTATAGTGACGAAAGCCATCAATTGAATAAGTTGTATCTACAAATGGACAAGAAAAAATATATAAAATTTTACACAGCATAAATGAGCATCGATTCAGATGTCCATTACAACTGTGGCCTCCGCCCGCAGCCACATCCAGAAATATCCCAGTTGCGCCACAGCAAAGGAGCAACTTGAGTTCTCCCAACGCATTCCCTGCTCCCCATCGTCATGGAGAGCAAATCAGCGACTACATTCTGTTCAAATCGTCAAGCAGTTTCATGTTTTGATTCAGGATTATGAAACTACTATAGCACTTCAGCAACTATGAAGTTTCGAGTATACGAATTCGTATTTAATAGGAAATGAGGATCACAATACAGGCATTGTGCATAATTTACCGATCTCTTTTAGCCATGCGAGTATACCATTAATGTGAAACACCACAAAAGAGAAGATTTTTCCATTTTTCCAAACTGACAGTTCATGCATCTAATAAACTTAAAAACTTCATTATTTAAACGAAGATTAATTGTTGAGAATTACATCATTAATGTATATTAAAATCTCTTCAATAAAATACAGTAAAACCTCATTAACACGAATTTCAAAGGACCGAAATATTCGGAGTTCGTTGTATGAAAATTCGAGTTATCTAAGTAGTATAACTGAGCATATTACAGTAATCCCTTGTCGGGCCCCAAGTTTTGTTCGTGTTGCGGTGAAATTCGTGTTAAGAGAGAGTGTGCAAACCCAGATTTACCGTATGTTATAAAATAAAAGTAACGTTTGTTAATATTTGTTAAATAACATCTTATTGCCGAAAGAAGAGAAGATAATGCGTTAATGTTGCTATGCGTCTTTCCCTCGTGTGCGCGCTGAAGTGCGTCGGTATGAGAAAGCAAATACCTCTACTGAATACGGGATGTCAAATGACACGCACTTCCCGTTTCACTTATCAGATGTCAAAAAGCACACACATGCACACAACATTACCTCTGAGCACAATAGTGGACAAGAAATTCCCGTCAGCAAATACTCGAACGTGTTTAGTCACTTTAGGCAATTACATCGATGTAGAGACACAATAGCTACCGCGCTTTGAGCAAAGTGTGTCACAGTTCGGTATTCGATTTCGAGGGCATTGAGGTGGTAATTAGACAAGGCAGCTGGGTCAGAGTGAACGCATCGCGCTTAACAAACGACCGTTTTGGGGAAAGACCTTCAGTGGGAAACTCAACGTTGGGCGGCAGGCACTAAACAGACGTCGTGTCTGAGGAGTCGAGCTTTGCAGGTGGGTCAAGGTTTCAATATTGTCAAGCATTATTTATTAATGAAAATATGCGTATTTAATAGTACATTATGAAACGATGATGTAATGATGGATATTAATAAATGAGTGTGATATTACGATACCAGCGGGTATCGTAAACTTCACACGAGCGTGTCAACATCTATTACATTGAGATTCATATGGCTCTACGATTTACGATGATATTACTTTGATACTATTTGACTAGCGCAGTGGTTAATAAAAGCCATCTGTTTCAGGGTGGATCGGGAGCTGGGGTGACCTTAGCTGAATCCTGAATGTCAACTGCTACGAAACTATTCAGTTTAAAAGTTCAACTTATAGAAGTTACCATAAGCACGCGCACGCAACACGCGGCCTCTCGCCCCGAGCACGCCCGCGCACGCCGCAAGGGGAGTCGCAGCTCCGGCGCAGGAGGCGCCACGGGCGATGGGCGATCGGCCTCCCGCGCACTTCGCCGATGCCTTCACGATTTCGTGTTTCCGGGCGCGTCAGCTGCTCAGTCATTAGCTCCGTAAGGGTGGCGCATGTTTCTCCTCATCGCGGGCGGTGTATGGCGAGATCCGGCGCCGACCTACCGACGGCTTGCGGAATTTTCCTCAACCAGGTATCTCCCACCAGCGGGGCACCGCCCCAGCCGGGACGAGCTCTGAGCTCCCGACCGGTCTCCCGGCATGTGGGGTAGTGTAGTGCATGTTTGTGTAGTTGTGTGTAAGGGGAGAGGATAGAACAAGGAAGAAGACAGAAAGATCGTGAGCGGTCCGTGTCCCTTTCGTTAAGGTACTGCCCCGGCTCTCCCCTGGTGCTGACTGGAGAAACCACGGAAAACTCCTGATCAGAGCAGGCGGCTGCAAGAATTCTCCTCCAGCCAGCGGCCTACTGACCTTGCGAGTATCGAAATGCCTACTATCGTGAGGAGTAGAAACCCTAGGACCTCCGGTCAGAGGCACTCCAGTGCCATCAGCTGATGCCCTGAGCCCCCCGAGGGCTGCAAGCGCGGCGGCGCGCAGCGCGGGCGGCGGGCGCCGATGACAGTTAGGAGGGCAGCGCTCGGCGCCGAATCTGCTCGCGTTCAGCGATGCGCGGGGCACACGTGCCGATGTTTACAAATGGAAAATTCCACAGCTACATTCACAGTCTCCACAACATGCGAAATCTGTTTTGTAAGCTCAAGCCTCGGGGTAATCTTTCATTGCGTATTTTTGAGTTCTCGGCTTATTTCGTAGAATTTAATTATTTTGAGAGGAAGTAAAAAAGTTCCAATTGTGAAGCTTTGCTTCTGCGGGATGTGTTTTGAGTTAAACAACAAGTTATAATTGGAAGAGGAGAACAAGTAGCAACCAAATTAGCGGCATATCATTTACGAGTTGTTTCAGTCTTTGAACATGTAAAGGCCATTGTTCCCTCCCATTGGTTTCCTACATATAAGCAGGGTAGAGTGCTGTCTCCACGAAATGCGTTGTTTTC